AAGTTTAAGATAGTTATTAACTTTAAGATAACTAACTATACTAATAACACCCCTAAGCTAATACCTTACTTTACTAAGCCTATGATCCCACTAGTTAAAGTAGGTATAACTACTAATTTTAGTATTATATATAATAATAATACTAATATTACTATTATCTTTAGCTTTAAATCTACAAGCCTCTGCATTACACTAGCTAATAAGATCTATAATATTACTAATATATAGGGTAGTGCTATAAAAGAAGAGTATATTTATTTTAATAAAAATTATACTACTAAATAGCACTATATAAAGTATACCCTAGATATATATATTTAGCTATATAGTATCTAGGAGGAAGCACTATCTAATTACTATTATAATATAGTATTATAGTATATTACTAGATAGAAGTAAGAATTTAGTATTATATATAATAACTAGAAATAAGATAATATTATAATTTTTCTAGGGCCCCTTACTAAGGATAACTTTTAAAAGCTAGACTACTAGCTATAGAATAAGATTACTAAAGATAACCCTAAGAAGATATTACTATAGGAAATTAGATTAATTTACCTAGACTATCTAGAAGCTATTATCTATACTTAGAAGTTTAGAAATAGTCTAGTAAAAGATATCACACCTAAGAAAATAGCTATAATCTAGAGTATAATATAGAAGCTCTATATAAAGGTATATCCTTAGGTTATAAAGATAATACCTATACCTGCTATATAACTAGCATAAATTAAATTTAATAACTCTAATAATAAAGATAAATTCCATAATATTAACCTTTATAACTATATAGAATGGTGCCTGGAATACTATATTATATAGTAATTAATTAAGATTAAAAGTATAGATAATATATATACTAGGTTTAATATTATATTATCTAATTAAGTTAAACTATTATTATCTACTTAGCTAAAGGATATATACTCCCTACTTAACTATACTACTATACCTACTACTAAATAACTATTTAGTACCTTAATAAATTAGCTTCTTAATATAGTACTCTAAGCTAGTAAACTAAAAGATACTAGCTATAGTATAAGATAGTTTATATAGGATGTTAAAAAGTAGTATAAAGACCTAATAGATATATCTTTTAATAAGTAGCTAATTAATATATAGCTACTACTATAGAACCTTACTACTAAGCTTATAGATATCCTAAACTAAGGACTTACTAGACTACTATAACTATACTCTATCATACTATATCTTATACTTTAATCTACTTTTAGTACTATATACCTACCTACTTTCTTTACTTTTTACTTTTTACTTACTTTACCTTCTATATTTTTAGTAGGGTCACTGGCTTTCAGAGGGCCCCTATTATATAGTAGTATACATGTAAGCATAGAGGTGAGCATAGAGCATATCTCCTTCTATTAATATATATATCTTAGAAGCAGGATCATCAATCTATTGCAATACTGTAAGGACCGTATGTTCTACTATACATATATAGGGTGGCCACTAGCCTACCCCCTACCCTTATACTCTTTGAAGACTCCATGTTCTTAATGACTATGAATATCCCAGCTAATTATTTTAGTCCTTTTAGGCCTAGGGGGCTCTATACTAGCTATACTATATAATAATATAGGTAGCTATATTAAGGCTATTCTAGTATTAGGGGCTGGGTTAGTAGGCTAGGGTAGGCTAGTAAAGAAAAGAGGTTAGTTCTATAGTTAATCTTAGGATAGTTAGTACTTATATTAGTATATAGGGCACTACTTACTATTAGCTTAGTAGGAGCTATAATAAATAGTATAGTAGTATTAGAAAGGGACTTCCTTAATCTTATAAAACTTCTTATTATAGGTGTTAGTATAATATAGATATATAACTCTTTTAGCTATATAAATAGGCTAGGTATATCTATAATTTAGGTATTAGATATACTATAGGAGCTAGCAGAGTAGGTTAAATAGTTCTATATATAGTAGAGTACTATCTAGGAAGATCTAGCTCTAAATAATATAGTTTACTAACTATATATCTTAGAAGGAGATTACTAGGGAAGACTTTTACTTATATTATTAGACTATAATATTATTCCTATACTAGTCTATATATAGTATAGGACTATAGAGTACTAGGTTATAGTATAATATCTTCTTCTAGAGGGCCTCTACTATACTCTAGATACTAGAGGGAAGGAAGGTAATAGGAATATAATAGACTAGAATAGTATACTAATAATTAGTAATATAGGTATATTTATCTCTAGGGAGCTTCTAGAGCTATATCTTTTTATTCTAGATTAGATACTCCTAATCTAATATAGAATAGGTATATATATCTAGATTACTACTATAAAGTATCTAGGCCCCTGCTACCTATATACTAGCTAGGCTAGGGAGGCTACTATAGTAGAGAATCTCCTAGATCTTATCTATAATAGCTATAATAATAGTTTACTTATAAGGGCTAGCTCCTAGACTATTTCTATACCTATACTACTAAATCTAGATATAGTTCTTATTATTATAGGGGGGTGTGGCTAGGGGGGAAGAGAAGAGAGAAAGATAATAATAATTAGAGGGAGAAGATAGGTTACTTAGTACCTACTAGGTCTAGTTAAAGACCCCTTAGGCCCTAGAGATTATAAATAAGGAAGTAGCTAAGCTATGCTTATCTACTCCTATATTATTTATACCTAGGGCCTATATACTATAATTACTAGTAACTATACTATAGACTTAGCTCTCTAGTAGTTTTATAACTAGGGCATAGGCCTACTAAGTAAAATCTTTAATCTAGAGGGCCTTAGCAGACCTACTAGGGTAAGCCTAAGTAAATTTAATAATATCTATATAGTATACTATAAAATAAAAGAAATAATTAATAATAAAAGAGTTATTATTAGCTACTAGGGCTAGCTACTAAGCTATAATATTAAAATAACTAGGCCCTAGTAGAAAGTATAAGATAGTATATAAAATAGTATATAAAAGTCTATAATATTAGAGTAAGGTCTATAAGTAGCCTAACCTAGTATAGAAAGATAGCCTAATAAGAGGGAGGCAGAGCCTTAATCTAGTTAAGTAACTACTCTATCTAAAGAGTTATTATTAGTAAATAGCTTAAGGCTAAATCTTAGAGGTCTAGGGTTTAGTATCTCTAATTAGTAGGGGTAGGCCCTAAAGATTCTAGATACTAGGGCCTTTAATTAGTAGTAGTAATTAATATATAGGATCCTAATTAGGAAGCTATAAGCTACTAATTAAAATAATAGTATATTTAACTATATAGAAATAAATCTTAGGGGTAGAGAGGTTAGATTTTAGGGTCTAATAAGGTCTCTATTATTAATTATTATATAGATTAGTATTTAAGAGGGCTAGCTAGCTAGCTAGCTAGCTATTAATTTAGCTTATAAGATTTATAACCCCCTATATATGCTTATCTCTCTTAATAAAGATAGAATTAAATTAAGAGAGATAAGCTATATAAGTAAGTAAGGAGAGATAATTAAGATAGAATTAAATTAAGAGAGATAAGTTATATAAGTAAGTAAGAAGAGATAATTAAGATAGAATTAAATTAAGAGAGATAAGCTATATAAGTAAGTAAGGAGAGATGATTAAGGTAGAATTAAATTAAGAGAGATAAGCTGTGTGAGCAAGCAAGGAGAGATTGATATAATAAAATTAGATTAATCTTTTACTTTATTATTAATCTCTCTATCTTCTTACTTTTCTAGCTTAGATATAGTAAAGATTAATAATACTTAAATAATTTAATAGATGAAACTTGAAATATAATAGGATTAAAGAAAGTTAATAAAATAGTAGGTTTTTAATATAAGGTTATAGTATTTAAAAATATTTATAAGATAAGTATAAGGTTATTAATTATAGTATAACTAAAGTCCTAGTTACTATATTACTAACTTCCCCTTTTAGAAGGTGGTAAAATATATTAAAATAACTTAGTAGTAGAATTAGTTAAATAGGTATAGGGAAAACTACTACAGCTTTAATTATTATATAATAGTTAGAAATTAATAAAATAAATAAAAGTTAATTAATTAGATTTCCCTAATTAAGTCCTAAATGCCCAGGACATACTACCATTTGGTATAGTCTTATAAGGTGATGCTATATCTTAAGGGGAAGATGATTCTCTTCTAAGCTAAAGCTAAGGAAGTCTGGATAAGCAAGATATGTAACACATGATTGTTGTAACATAACAATGACTATAAAGCAAGAATAACCAGTAAAGTAACCTGCATGACTATGCACACATAATAGTTAGGGCTAGGATTATTAATGCCCTAAGGCAGATAATAAGTGCTTAGTAAGCTGAAGGCTGAAGCATCCAGCGGGCCTTGCCTGCTGGCAGCTGCATCTAGTAGCCAAACTTATATATATAGAGAAAATAGGCTAATATATCATATTTTATATTAGATACTACTTTTACTATCCTAACTAGTTATATAATTTAAACTAATTACTATAATAATGTTAATTCTTTATTATTATGTTATATTTAAGGTTAGGGGATTCCCATGGGATTCCCTTCTCTACAGTGTAAGGTACTTCTAGCTTACAGTAAGCCTTACACATGGATTATTACAACAACCCCAGTGGGTCCTTTCTTGCAAGGCAGTATTTTCATGTATTACATAGGTTTTGAATTATCACCTTAAAATTTATGGCATACCTCTCCTCTCCAGAGCTGACAAACAGAAATATGTGGCATATCTAGCAAACCATCTATATTCTAAGGTTCTATCACTTAGGTTTTATCCAGACTGATAAAGTGATGTTTCATTATTCCTCCTCTTTTTCTCCTTATGTACCAGTATGGTTTTGTCTCTTGATTGTCTTCCTGAAGAGCTACTATACATCATTCTATGTAACTGCCCCCCTCGGTCTTCGGCTGCACTGGGACAGACTTCTCGCAAGTTTCGAAATATCACGAATGAGCCTCTACTATGGAGATTCTATTGTCAAACCCACTTCAAATTCTGGGATCCCAAACATGATATGAAAAGAAGCTACAGGAGTTCTGCTACTGCAGTAGACTGGAAACGACTCTACGTTTCTCGACATCTTATTGATCGCAGGACATGCTATCTTCTTAACAGTATTCTTGCCGGGCAAACTGGACGAATCAAGAAATTTCGAACCATCATTGGTCTTGGATATGACATCAAGGATACTCTACTACGCCATATTTCCGCAGGATCAGACACAGAGGACTATTTGGCCAGAAGGTGGCGCTCCCATTGATAATATCTGGTCATTTTCCGTGTGATTAACGTTCGCTATCTCAACAAAAGGTATTACGCAGGAGCGCTGCTGACCTGTCTCTATCGGAGCATTGCGGTCCAAGAATGGATCAAACTCAGAAATGGGGAACCTGTGTCCCTGGAAAGGGCTTTGGGTGCGTTTGATCTTTTCATCCCAGAGAGTAGTTTCGGGAATCTGGATGAAGTATGTAAAACACTTAACCTTGGAAAGAATAATGAGGCAAAACATCTACTAATCAGTAGCCAGATTGTGAGTAGGCTAGATGAAATCGCCTCGCACATATTCACATACTGCCCTAATATAAACATACTCACAACTCGTGAGAAGGCCCGGGCTGTCGCAACATACCTCAGAGCAAGCAATTTGACAGGCATTCGGATAGGCCGGGATTACCATTGCCTGGAGCACAATTTCCTAGGATTTGCAATAAATGATCCCAATCATAATTCGCTTCCTTTGATTTCAGCAGCTATATACTGCTACATTGCCCGAAAAATAAACCTTGACGCTCGGCCTTGTGGGTTTCCTTTCCATGTTCATGTTATAGTCATGCCACCCACCGGTCAGGACATTGATGGCAACGCAATCCCGGCCGCGACGCGGATTGAGCCGATTTTTATGGATCCATTTCGCTCAGCAGAAGAGACACCTGTCGAGAACCTGCAAAATCAGTTGAATTTTCTGGGGGCTTCAGCAGCCGAGCAATCGGCTTTCCTTCGTGCGTCTGGAGTTGCTGACACTGTGTTGCGATGTGGCAAAAACATCATGAACTCCGTTCAACGTCTTTCCCAGACTTCTAGAGCACATCTGGCTCCGGTCGATGCGGTTAGTGCAAGATATGCCGCCCTTTGGTCGTCACTGTTATTTTCAACCTCTCTCCGGCCGGCGGAACTTAGGCACTATTTACCTTGGTTCTTGGAACTCTTCGCTACGGACTTTCCTTCGGATGTTCATTTGATTGAGCAGTATCTTGTACCGCTTTTTCAAGGCACGCCCCAGCAAGAGGACGTACTTGAGAGCCTTCGTGTCGTGCGAGCTGTGGATGAGATACCCAAGCAGGTCAAACGGCGGACACCTGAGTGCAAAGCGGTAAGGTATAGGATCGGCCAGGTCTTCCGCCATCGACGGTACAGTTACTTAGCTGTCATAACTGGTTGGGATACTGAGTGCGATGCGAGCGAACAGTGGATGAGAAGGATGGGAATCGATCATTTGGAAGCCGGCAGGCACCAAAGTTTCTACCACGCATTGTATGGTACCTGCGCTGTATTTCACTGCCTTTGCTGATTATGTTTAGAGCTGAGGACAAGTCGGTTCGCTACGTTGCGGAAGAGAATGTCGAAATTATCACTCCCGACCTATTTGAGCTACCGCGAATGCTTGTGGAAACAGCAGGAAAGCAATTCAAGCGGTGGGATGGCTGTTCTCGTACATTTGTCAGCAATATTCGAGATGAGTATCCTGATGACTGAACGGCGCCTTCGGAGAGGAGTACTAATTTCTGCACTGCTTTGACTACACGTCTTGAGGCCCATGAAGGTAAGCTACGGCTAGTAGAATCCTAATATATCGAACATCATTGGTTCGAATTCAATATTGTTTTTCTCTGGATAACAAGAGATCACATACCTTCTTTTGGATGGCCGTCTAACTTAGCCCACCAGCATCTTGGATAGCTGGCGGCGTGTGCAGCTACAGACTCTCCTTCCTTTGTCTAAGTGGAGAGAAATAAGGATTGTACGGTGTTGAAATTCCGCATCCTTTCGATTACTTCCCTCGTGATGTTCTGGCACTTGTGTAGAGATAATATGGCATTTGAGATGTTTGCATTTATTTCTAAGGTTGCCTGATGATTTATATTTTTTCCTTATATACTGTGTGTGTGACAGTATAGTTGCATTATGATTATTAGGTTCTTGTTCCTCTACCTCTCTATGCTCGCGCTCTCCCTTCACCTGGTGTAGTTTAGGATCTAGAGGGCGCCCACTATTATTAGCATGTGGATGGGTGTTAAGTGGTTGACTTGTAGTGACAAATGCACTTAGTACGTTAAATTTTGAGCTATATCCAGTAATTATCACATGACATTTACGCAGCCACTTCAAATTTGTGATGTAGAGAGGTACAACAGTAACAGTGACTTCTACCTAGCCCCTAACTGAATATTTCAGTATCCCTAATGGGAGTACCCAAGCAGATAGTTTTGAGTCAGAAACATTTCAGCTATGGGTATACCGCATCTAACACGACTTTTACTTCCATATTCGGAAGCAGTGCTTCTTAAGGGTGGTCAAAGTACTGAGGAGGGGAGAATCCACATTCAATCCGTTGTGATTGATGGCCCCAGTCTGGTTTATCACGTCCATTCAAGGTTGCTGGGATGGTCCGACAGCCAACTAGAATTCCCTGATATGCAGCCATCATGCAACGAAGTTAGTTGCGCGGTGATGTTGCATCTCTTGAAGTTAAGAAACCTGGGAGTTGACATGTAAGGACATCCAAGCAGGAGATCAGGCAAATAATGACTGATATGGTCTAGAAAGGCAATATGTTTTGATGGAGCTTTGCCGGCCCGAAAAAGAGAGACAAGACTATCTCGACTCGAAAGGGCAAGACGAAAGCTTGAGATAGCTCGTAAAAGAATCAGTTATGGCTCTTTGCGACCCAACTACACGCCTATCGACACAGAATCCAAGCTCGAAATGATACTCCGAGGACGGACGTTGACTCCTAAACACAGAGAATGCCCTGACAATCCCTTTATGGTACCGGCTGTCTTCGAAGATCTCAAGCATCGATGGAATAAGGAAAACATCCTTCAAGGTGCGCGGGGCTCCCTATTGTTAGCCGACTCAGTTGCATTACAAGATTTTCCTTGGGCGGATGTCACAGTCATGGTCGCAGGGGAAGCAGATATGCATTGCGCATATCTGGCGAAACTCACAGGATCTGCGATACTCACTAATGATTCGGATCTTATACTTCATGATATCGGGCCGCATGGTTCCGTCGTACTCCTTCATTCATTAGAATTGGAAAATACGTACAGCGCTCGATCAATAGACGTGCCACTTCGAGCGGTGCAGCTGCATCCAGCATCACTCGCTCAACGCTTTGGGTTGGCTGATTTACTGCGCCTGGCATATGAACTTAAACTTCACCCAAATTCGGGATTAACGGAGCTGATACGGCTTGCAGAAGAGACCCTCAGACCCCAAGGATCTGCAGGCTATTTGGAATTCTCCGAGGAGTATAAGGTCCCAGAACATGCACAATGGGGGTTTGCGAACTCTCATCACCTTGACCCCAGAGTCTTAGAGTTGGTCTGGCAATATGAAACCCAAGAAATCAATTCATGGGACGAGTTCCCTCGGTTTTATCTTGCAATTCTAAACGAAGATCATACCAGGCGGTGCGCTTGGGAGAACGGCTTCTCATATAGAGTTCTAGGCTATTCGATCTTTAATGCTTCGCGTCCGCCGTCTCGGAGATCTCGCTTCATCGATGAGTTTGTACGACGAGGGGGAAGAATTGCAAGGGATACTCTAGCAATCCGTGATGCAGGCTGGATCGCAGATCAAATGACGGCTTTCTATGCACGTCTCAGTCTAGTTCGAGACGCCCTGGGCGAAAATGTCACAACCACAAACTTATGGAGAATATTTGCACTGTGTGAGATATATGGTTGGGGGGACAGTGGCTCTCCACTTCCCAAGGCTAAGCCATTTAGCAGATTCCTCAATTTTGGTTATATGGGTGATCAGACAGACTGGGCAGACATACACCTTACGGCGCAGGTCCAGGCTGTGCTCTATTCTTTGAGAATTATGAGACAACTGATTGGGTTCACAACTTCGGCCAACGATCTCATGCTCAAAATGCAGGACGCTCTTATGAGCCTTCCCCCACTTCATGTGTTGATGAGATCGAGATTCGAGATGGCGAACGAGTACCTTACTGAAGATGCTGCTGGTGAATTTCTGAAGAGATACAAACAGCTAGCGAGATGACATATATTGCCTACAATTCCACTAGATATATATGCATGTCAGGAGACGGGAGACTTTTGTGATACGAACACTATTGGTTTCCTTGACCCGTGAGCTCGCGGATACTTATAAAATCCTCGATCGCTACCAAACCAGAGCTCAAGTAATAAGCCCACTGACTAGTATAGCCAGAGTACGAGGAAGTATGATCTTACACGTAACAGGGTTGAGTCGTCCTCAGGCTCAACATATCCTAACGTGATGATCTTATAAATCCCACCACACCTCGACAGTATCCAACTAGGTCAGCTAAGCGTTTGGCTTCCCGCTGCTGTTCTTGACTCCACTGAACAAGTGATTTTCTCAGTTCTCTGTGGTCATTCTCCGCCGACTCGGAGCACTTCCGCACAATATCAGCATGTATTTTCAGAAATACCGCCATCCAAGCATTCACGAGTTCGAAATCTTTCCTGAGACGGAGTCGCGTAGTCAGTGCCATGACGAATAAGGACAACTCAGAATGACCGTCTTGTACACGCAGATCCAGAGATCGAATCTCCAGATCAGTCTTTGCTGGAGATAGAGTTTTCAAATAATCTGTGAAGGATGCAAAATCGTTAGACTGACGACCGGAATGCAGAAGGACTGTGAATAAAGAGCCCGAGTCGTCCACAGTCTGAGATCGTTGATGTCTGGCTATCCTTGAGCGTTCGGCGAGCGCGTGTTCAACCCGTAACAACATACTTCTGTCGCTACTTTCAACGCTCGTTTTCTCGGAAACAGATGGCAGGAAAAATGGGGCTTTCTCGGGTGCCTTGGGAGGATCTTTTGGCTTGTTGCGTTCCTAACAACAATTAGTAATGATAAAGCAGATGGTGGAAGAAGCGTGGGATGATACCCTGATCAAATCTAAGTGGAGTAGAGTCTGCCATCTACTCCTGGGGATGGCACTGAGTGTTACCATCCCCCTACTCAGTTGTTCGTCACATAGCACTGGCCCCTCCGCCTCATCCTGATGATGCTCTTCGGAAAATGCAGCCTCCAGAGCTCCAGCGCTTTCCTCTGCGGATGTGATATGGATATGAGTATCAGCGAAACCAGATTCGTCCAGATTCTGTGTCGAAATTGGAATAAACAGACTCCGATTTGTCCAGAGACGAATACCGACACTATCCGCATGGGCCGTGGCTAGAAACTCCCCAGTTGATGACATGGCTAGCGAGGTACAGGTGCTAGGCACTCGGAAGATATCAATGAGATGTCCTGTTGACAAATCCCAAACGCGGATACGTGAGTCCATAGAAGCAGCCACTATCCACCGGCTATCATTGGAGAAAATGAAGTCATTGATCTGACCCACGCAACCCCAGAATTCGCGTATGAGTTTTCTTGTTTCAATGTCAACCACACGAATCGAGAGATCATCACAACTGAACGCGACCAACTCGCTGCTGCTGTTGTAACGCAGACCAGTGATTGCTGTCATTGGATGCCAATCAAGCTCATCTAGGAGTAATCCGGAGTGAAAATCCCAGAACTAAATTAAGCAACTTAGTAACTGTGACTTATGAAAAGGAGTCGAATATCGTACCTTGACTTTCCCATCCAACCCACAGCTTATGGCAGTTCGGTTCAAGGAATCGACTACTAAGCCAGTGACTGCCTTTGTATGCCCGATTCTCTTTTCTTGAGAACCATCGACTAGGCCAAGCTCGCCAGTTCGCTTACCTTTCAAACCGCGAGCCGGGAGACTTTGTCGATGCTGGCCGGACTGCAGATTGAACACATCAATTCTTCCCATACTGGACCCAATGAGAGCGAAAGTCCCACATTGCGTGATAGCGACGCTCTGGAATAAAGTGTTAGCGATACTCCATGACATATTGTCGACAACCCATTCACCTTCACGACAGATCCATCGCTTGTTTCAAAAGTCCAGCGTCCAGCTCTTTTCCTACCCCAAAACCAAGTACGCGCGAACTTGTCCCCACGGTGACCAGTAACTATACTCTCCCATCCAGTCTTATTCGAAGCAGCCGCATCTGCTACTCTCGGATTAGCCCAAGTCGGACCAGATGTGGTGACACCCATGCCACCATCGCGATTTAGTGAGCATGCAATGCAAGTTATCTCTGAAGCTCTGAAATCCTGTGTGCGACGTTGCAAGTCTAAGCTCACAGGACCTGGAGCAGACATTTTCTTGGCTTTCTTCTCAACTGCGCCCTGCGAAATTTCAGTGTTTTGGCTGTCTTTTCGTACACTAAGTCCCCATAAGCTGCAGTCCTTGCTCGCACTCAGTAGCCATTTACCATTGGCTTCTGAGCCATCCGATGACGAGGGCAAGAAACTCAACGCAGTGACAGGAGCAGAATGACCACTTCTGAAATGAAGCTGTCTCGGAATAGGTGAAAATGGCGTCTCATCAAATATCCAGGTCCTGAGAGAGTTATCTTTCCCAGTCGATACCAACAAAGGTTGGCCATCTAAGAAATCCACACAATTTATGCCAGACGCTATTTCATGTTGAAGTGTTCTGTGGGCGTTCCGAAGGACGCCTGTGATACGCCCTGCGTTGTTCAAATCCCACAAAGTGATGTCGCCACTATCCACAGAAGCTGTCGCTAAGACACCCGGAGATTGACCATCTGCGCCAGCGCCTAGACTATCGGTCCGGAAGGCGAGTGATGTGATGTGCGAGGAACCTGAGCGCAATGACAAGATAATCTGCTCGGTATCGACGTTACGGATGAATAGAGAGCCATCCGCATGAGCAATAGCAATGAGGGATAGCACAGGAGTCGGCTGCAGAGCAGTCACAGCTCCAACACTTGGCCATGCCGTAGGAATCGTATGGAGTAGCTCTCCGGTCCTCACATTCCAAATCTCCACACAGCCGTCAAACCTTCCAACGAAAACCTTATTGATGTACGTTGGCATACTGCACATTTGACCGCCATAAATGTGGCCTCCGGATACCGCTTCAATTCCGCGAGGAACCAGTGTCGTGTAATGTTCGTAGGTCGTATTTTTCCAGACTTCAATGCTGGTGCCAGTGCAACCCACAATCCAAGCGCCAAAAACAAGTATTTTGATAATAGGCCCAGCTCGGCCTGAAGGCGCCTCTAATGCGGCGACCTTTTTGCCGCGTTTGAAAACCCACATACCTCCACATGTCCCAGGTCTGAGATTTCCCCACGCTGCGAAGACCTTCTCACGCCATGCAAAGGTGGCAGTTATGGCTTCTGGCGTCTGAGGCCGGCTGATGAAAATCAAACTCAGCCCTCGGCGTAGATCATAGGTGTGCAAAGCGCGGCCCACACAGGTCGTGATCTGAAAAGTACTTTTTCCCAAGCGCACATACGTGAAAGGAACAGCTGTGGGGGAGACGAGCCCAAGCGTCTAAAGACTGATCAGTCAGGAGAGCATTTAGAGGAAGGAAATCATGATCGATTCAGTTCTGGCTTACCCGATATGGTGAAAATATTCTGGACTCAAGCGCCTTTCGCGAATTTGAGATGCTCTGATGCTCAGGGACTCGCTTTTGCCTTTTCGGAAGTGGCACACTGAATTCATCCTCGTCAATTGAAGGCATCATGTCAATTCAGGTCAGGTCTTAGTAGTATTGCCAGTTTCAGATTGTAGGAGCTCTCGATATTGCTCTCTTCTACTTGCGAACTTTTGTGGTGTCCCGAAAATTTCTGTCTTTACGGGCAGGTCCGCCTAGAATACCGCCTTGGCAAAATCCTACTTAATCTCCGCACTCCGTAAAGCTCTTAGCTCTGAGGATGAAAGTTGGTTTTCCAAAATTATTTAACATTTAGGTAGGGTTGTCCTCTTTGTTTGGAACGCCTCTCTCTGTTATTCTATGTTAATATACATAACAAAATACGAATACGTATACAATGGTATATCAATAGATATTCTTGGAATTTTCAGTCTTTTGCTTACTGTCAAGCATGTTCCCGGTTCTTTTATTTTTATTTTTTCTTTTCCAAGCAAAAGAAAAACACCGAGTAATGACGACAGGAGTGATCTTGACAAATTAGCAGAAGATCGACAATGGTGGTCCTATATTCATAAATAATTGAAGTCTGCCAAACATGTATCCAAATTTGTGAGAGAAAAAACGGAGTCCCCTTCCGAAATGGGGTCTTCACCAAGTTTGACTTTTCATCTGGAACCAAGATCTCAGGGACCCCTCTAGTCCCAATTGTACCGACGATGAACTCATAGGCACTACACATCATTTTCTCCTTGGAAAACCTGGCTTGAATACATAGACAACAAAAAGGAGAACACATTAGAAAACAGTAACGGAAATCTGGGGTGAGGACTTTCATGCACAGCCTCAGTTTTTGAATTCAAGTTCCCCGAGCAACCTTCAAAGATGACACAGAGCAATTCTATTCAAGATTTCCCACCTTCCGCAAGCCAGGATAATTGCTCTTCTGATGTTGGTTGTGCTACAGGCAGTGACGAGCGAAACGCACTGATTGCCACGCCTTTATCAAACACGGTGTTTGATCAGACTGGTGACAAATCATCTTTCACCCTTCTTTATGACCCGGCTTCACCATCTTTGAGGGCAAGTCCGAGTAATGGGCAATTACACCAGAACAAAATCCAGAACTCCGACGTAATGACAGATCATGCTGGCGGGGTGCGAGTTGCTCGTTCAGCTCGTTCCTCCAGCCGAACGCCTAGGAGACTTAGTGGCAGCACAGCTACCAGCTCGGTCAGTGAAGCTGAAACCGGCCACTCAAGCATTGGCAGGATTGGCGTCTGCGCTCTGGATGTGAAAGCGCGCAGCAAACCTAGTCAGAATATTTTAACCCGCCTGCAAGCCAAAGGTGGTTTTGAAGTGATTGTTTTCGGAGACAAGGTGATTCTCGATGAGGCTGTAGAGAATTGGCCTGTATGCGACTTCTTGATTGCATTCTTTTCCGACGGCTTCCCTCTGGAGAAGGCCATCGCTTACGCGAGGCTTCGAAAGCCTTTTTGCGTGAATGATCTACCCATGCAGAAAGTGTTATGGGACCGACGACTGTGTCTGCGAATTCTGGATCATATGAATGTCCCCACGCCAAAGAGATTAGAGGTCAATCGCGACGGCGGACCAAGGTTGGAATCTCCGGAGCTTGCTCAGCATGTTTACAGGTTAACGGGGGTCAAGCTCGAGGGCCCTGAAGATGGGACTGGAGGAGGCTCTCAGAAAACTCAGGTGGTAACAATGTCTGAGGACGGCGAGGCTCTGATTGTGGATGGAAAATCTATCAGAAAACCCTTTGTCGAAAAGCCAGTGAACGGTGAAAACCACAACATCCATATATACTTTCCTAACGATCAACAGTATGGCGGAGGAGGCAGGAGGCTTTTCCGGAAAGTCGGGAACAAAAGCTCCGAATACGATCCTCAGCTTGTGGTACCTAGATCAGTGACAGAAGAAGACACAAGCTACATTTACGAACAGTTTCTGAGGGTTGACAATTCTGAAGATGTCAAGGCTTATACAGTCGGGCCAGATTTTTGCCATGCAGAGACACGCAAGTCGCCTGTTGTTGATGGAGTCGTTCGCCGGAACACGCACGGGAAAGAACTCAGGTACATAACTAAATTGAGCCAGGACGAGGCAGCAATTGCGTCAAAAATCTCGAATGGGTTTGGCCAAAGGATCTGCGGCTTCGATATGCTTCGAGTCGGTGATAGGAGCTACGTGATCGATGTTAATGGATGGAGTTTCGTCAAGGACAACAATGACTATTACGACAAATGTGCCAGTATTCTGAGCGACATGTTTCTGAATGAAAAGCGCAAACGCGAGGGAATACAAAGGCCCCTAGAAATGGTTTCGCCGGATACAACCCATCATGGGAGACATTCTGTATCTCACAGGCAAACATTGAAAACCTTGTTGAAATCCCCATCCGCGTCCAAACTCTACGGCAGTCATAAGAGCCTCGAAAATAGTTTCCAGGACCTTGCGGCGTTACCTCCAGCATCGTCTGGAGCAGAGAGTATGGACTACAAAAGAAGCCGTACGAGCCCAGATGCGCGCCAGATCGATTCAGATATAAGTGATCTCGACCCGAAGACCCCAGAGTTGACCGGCCATCCCGACGAAACGGTCCCGCCGCCTCCACCTCCAGCATCTAAACATTCCTGGAAGCTTAAGGGCATGGTTGCAGTCATAAGGCATGCGGATCGTACGCCAAAGCAAAAGTTCAAGTTCACTTTCCACAGCCAGCCATTTATTGATTTGTTGAAAGGCCATCAAGAAGAAGTGGTGATCAAAGGACAGGCAGCCTTGGCTAGCGTCTCGGAGGCTGTCAGGCTTGCAATGGATCAGAAACTGGAAGATATGGAAAAGCTCAAACTGCTTCGAACATCCCTGGAGAAGAAAGGTGGCTGGCCTGGAACGAAGGTTCAAATTAAACCTATGTTTCGCAAGCGAACGCAGGAGGAATTGAGCACTCATAGTTCAGAGAACTCGAACAGTGACGGAGCGCGGACTAATTGTACCCAAATCGCCAATGATGCTGGCGGGAATAATGAAAAATTTGCTCGAACGTCTACTCGCAGTGACTCAATATCCGGTACAACATTCTCAAGATTTGCCGCTGCCGAGAACGATCTCATTCTAGACAAGCTGCAACTTGTGATCAAGTGGGGTGGAGAGCCAACCCACGCCGCAAGATACCAATCACAGGATCTAGGTCTCAATATGCGTGACGATCTGAAATTGATGAACAAAGAGGCGCTGAATAATGTTCGGATCTTTACAAGCTCAGAGCGAAGAGTGAGTACTAGCTGTAAGTCTTTTCCAAAGCACGGTTTTGTCCGGCGCCAAGCTTATGAGTTAATGTAGCTCAAATTTGGGCATGTTCTTTTCTCGACCAGAAGGAGCTCCCGGATGATTTTATTCAAGTGCGAAAGGACCTTCTGGATGACTCCAACGCCGCAAAAGATGTTATGGATAAGGTGAAAAAGAAGCTGAAACTCCTTTTGCGCGAAGGGTCTGCACCTTCACAGTTTACTTGGCCCAAGGATAACATCCCTGAGCCATCGGTTGTTCTCGCTACTGTTGTTGAGTTGATGAAATTTCACCGAAATGTCATGAGACACAATTTTGGGAAGATTAACAACTCTCCGCATTGTCCTTCATCGACATCTCCCCTTAGTGACGATTCTACCTCTCAGAATGTCATTCCGGACACGGATAGCCCAACCCTTTCCTCTATCCAGGGACGGTGGTGTACTGGTGAAGATCCCATGCTCTTCAAAGAACGATGGGAAAAGCTTTTTGCAGAATTTTGCGACACGGAGAAGGTTGACCCGAGCAAACTTTCCGAATTGTACGACAGCATGAAATTCGATGCACTCCACAACAGACACTTTCTTGAGTGGGTGTTCATGCCCCCAGATGAGGGGATCAACGAGCATGAACGGCACAGTTCCAATTCTAATAATACTAACCATCACGATCTTGTTGGGGACATAATACCCGGACATGACAGTCTAACAAGCGAAGAAATGGAGGAAAACGTGGAAAATCCGACCTTATCACATCTCCGATTCAAGAAGCGAGCATATGCATTCGACTCATTACCGCATCTAAGGGCCCTTGATGACTCGTATGATCACTATTTCAAGCTGTACCCAGGCTCTAGTCCTACGAAAGCTAAAATGGATGGACGATTGTCAAAACTCCGAGAGTTATACAAATTGGCCAAAGTTCTATTTGACTACGTGACTCCTCAGGAGTACGGAATTACCGACTCTGAGAAACTGGAGATAGGCTTGTTGACGTCCTTACCCCTACTTCAGGAGATTGTCAGAGACCTCGAAGAAGTCCAGGCGTCTCCAGATGCGAAATCCTTTTTCTACTTCACTAAGGAGTCCCATATCTATACCCTCCTGAACTGCATCATCGAGGGCGGAATTCAGACAAAGATAGCCAGAAGCGCTATACCTGAATTGGATTACCTATCACAAATCTGTTTCGAGCTGTACGAGGCTAAGGATCGTGAATCATCCACAAGTTCCTATTCAATCCGTATCTCTATCAGTCCTGGCTGCCACGCTTTTGATCCGCTGGATGTGCAACTTGACTCACGGCATGCGATTGGTTGCGCTCCGAGAAGAAGCCTAACTGCCCATCAGGATTGGAAAGAGGTCATTGAAACCCTCAAAGCGAAATTCGACACGTGCGTTTCACAACCCACCTTCATCCCTCCACGTTTTATAGGGCCAACGACTGATGAGAATTCTATAGGGTCAAACTTCCCAAGACTTTCATTGCCGTAAATTTGAGCGATAAGCATGTGTCCAGTTATCAATCATAGGTTTGCCCAGCTGTATGTGACGAGATATGTAAAATAATGACAAGATCGATTCGCTTGACCACAAAGCAGGAGTGTGGTGTATGTGGTTAGGTAGAGGAATAGAGATGTATGTTATCATGTTCATGAGCACTTGCATTTGCTAAAGTTGATCGCAGTTTAGGCCACAAGACTATCTTGAATATACTAACAGGACATAGGTAGCAAGCGGTTGGTGATACAGACTTGATGACACCGGGACACCCCTCGGTTCCAGCAAAACCCTTTACCAAATTAGATAGGTAACGGTCATGTATGCGATTTGCCAGAAATGGGGTTTCGCTGCACATATCCTAGAGCAAGGCTCAAGGCTTAGTAGTATCCTAGTATCCTAGTATGGGTATTACACTTGGCTATTAGTCTGTTACCTGCCTGGTCAGGCAAGGGGGTTGTCGCTGTATCACTACTTTACCCTTGATCTAAGGTAGGTAATGATAAGCTTACTCTGTAGTCCAGATAGTGGGTCCCTTGGGTATGTCTACCTAGTACCGTATCTGTGGGCCAGGGTAAACGTCATTTCAGGTAGGTAAGGCTTACTTTAATAATAAAACAAGTTGCTGGGTGGATAAGAGGTAATAAATGTGTAATACTACTATTATTCATTGTTTACCCCGCCCTGCCATGCTGTTGCCGGCTCGTAGAAGTAGTCTTTCCCACCATTATTCAAAGCCACATCATAAGCCTCCTTCCTGAACAACGTAAGTTGGATCATGTCGCCTCTAGGAAAACTACTGATTCAGGCCCTGAAATAGAGAAATGGAACCATTGCCAGATGTTATTTGGGCTGATACCTCGCAATTCTCTTGTAATTTTTCCAATGACGACATTCAATGCAGTGAACTTCAGGGGCAGAGGGAGCTTAGAATTGCCATAGATGATGTGATCTGCATCCTACCACATGCTAGCCAGGATGGAAAGAACTACAACATGCTCTATCTACGAAATGGTCCAAAACAGGCGACGTCTGTTCCGCGGGGAGATTGTGGATCTTCTCTGGCGAGTATACAATTGGTTTCTCCACCATCTACACTACTATCACGATACTTCTGTGCGGAACTTCCCCAACATCTCAAGCCTTCGGTGAACCAGGCGATTGATCTGCATGTCATTATCTCGGCTCCCTCAGGGACAGGGAAGGCAAAGAATTTCTTCAAAAACATTGTACAACCATTCTTGGCACATATTGGATTGACGGAGTATGAGGTCCATGAGACACAATCAGCGCGATCTATACTCGAACTCTGTCAATCAAGGCTTATTGGTCGTGCAGAACTTGGTTTTCCCCAAACAATTATTCTTCTTTCTGGGGACGGTGGCCTGAATGATATTGTCGATACATTCCACAGTGCTGTCGGTGCTTCACTTGTTTCTCCAATCGTCGCTCTGATACCGATGGGGACGGGTAATGCCATGGCAAGCTCATTAGGGCTGCTCTCTCGCCCGACAGCAGGCTTGACTGTCCTGCTGAAAGGGTCACCGAAACCTATACCCACCTTAGTCGCTAATTTTTCTCCTGGCGCGCAATACGTCACGGATGAGGGCCACACTCTGATTCCTATGCTTGATAGCTCGATGACCCAGGCCTCAGTGAATCCAATTCACGGTGTGGTTGTCGCAAGCTGGGGTTTTCACGCTGCCTTAGTTGCTGACAGTGACACTTCGGAATATAGAAGGTTCGGAGCCGAGAGGTTCCAGATGGCAGCCAAGGAGCTCCTTTTCCCTTCTAGCGGCGTCGACACGCACAGGTATAGAGGTAATATCACATTGTTCCGGTCTAACATAGCGACCAATGAAATCTCCTTGGAGACTCTAGATTGCGGAGAACACATGTATGTACTCGCTACACTCGTTCCAAGGCTCGAGAAAGACTTTCTTATCTCGCCGGAGTCAGTTGCATTGGATGGCAGGTTGAGAATAATTTATTTCGGCGCAGTCTCCACAGAAAAAGCCATGCAACTAATGTCTCTCGCGTATGATGGAGGGCGGCATGTACACGAAAGCAGCGTCCTCTACACGGAAGTTGAAGGCTTCAGAATCGATTTTCATGAGACTGAGCAGAAGTGGAGGCGAGTTTGTATAGATGGGAAGATAGTCATCGTTGAGGAAGACGGCTGGATGGAAGTGCTGAAAGGATCGACGGGTCGGGTAAATATACTGGTTTAATGGTTGGACACCAGGTTCTCATAAAGTGATTTCCCCATACCCGTCTTGACCTGACAAGGTGTGTTCAACGAGATCAAGAATAGGGGGTGCATTGAGGGCGACGAGTGCCCTCGATATATCTCCATCAAAGACAATATTCAAATGACCATGGGTTGCAGTCTTCACTACATCGGTGTTGGGTATTCGTGTACATCCAGGCTGGTCTTGAGAGTAGAAGCATATGGGAACATGTACTAGTCTGTATCACGGAGTACTTATACCAATTCTGGATATGCTCCCATCACTACTCCGTACTTTGTACTATCTACGGGGATACTAGCCATTCTTATGCAGTCTTCAGTAGGCCACTGGGCATCGCAGCCGCACTTCCAGCAATGAGCGGCAGTCAATGATTCTAGGCACAGCCATTGCAGTACAGGTGCACCTGTACATCTTTACATAAGCCAAAACCAGGTGACTAGGGCGACCAGAGCCTACTTCTCTTCTGGCTAGGATCAGTGAATTGTCCCTAATTGTAGGATGCAGTCGGGGCGCAGGATGCTATTATGGTGACAAAGGCAATGATTTCTTAATTTCCCAAATAATGGAGGTTCCTGACTTTGCCAGCTTTGTAAGTTTAATGATTAAGACATCTTAGCAAGCATTCAATCATAGAGGTGAACTATTAGTGCAAAGGAAAGGCAATATCTTTAGGTAAATATGTTTAGTTGATAGCTAGGGTGTAATCCTGTTCTCTTGCTAGAAAATAGCCCGCATTAAATTTAAGGGGAAAAGCTGATTGCAAGAGTAGTTAAGCTAATATTGTATTCATAATACAAGCAGCTATGTCCCTAATGAATCCAACAGCAGGAAATGCCATTTATATCAGAACAATTCAACAACCTTCTCATCGTCATTCTGTGCAGACTCTTGCCGTTCATGGATATCTGAATAAGAGATAGAATTTGTGCCTTCAATTTGTACTTGGCTGGCATCTTCCTCTCCTTCCTCATCACGCATCAGCACCTGGACTAGCCTGTCACAGGCTTCGCGCACATCTTCATCATCAACATGGAGGTGGCATTCCCGAATGATCGGATACACTTTGATAGCCCTCATCTTGTCCCGACCTTCTCGTGTCGTTGTCAGCAGTAACAATGTCTCCAGGTGCGTTACAATGATGCTGTTATCACTATCCCTCTGCTTATCCGGGGGTAGCAACTGCAGGTCTGGCAACATTGCCGTTGACTCTTCCTCGCTGAATTCCTCCGGCCCTGTGATCGGCAGCAACACATAAGGGAGTAGATTGGCTTCGTCTGCGGAGAGTAGGGTCGAATGAAATGGAATTTCGAAAGCGACATTTTTAATTGTTGACGCCACCCCCTTTCTCCGAACTGTGCTTTCATGCTCAGTGAAGACAGTCAATTTAGTGACAGGGACAACACCATCATAATCCTGTCGGGTGGTAAAATATGCGCGCCCTGCCTCGGATTTGGAGAGATCGGCGAAAAAGTAGGAGAGATAATCAAAATTGGCCTTCTTATTTAAAGCACCCTCAGCACCTTTCACAAAACAATCCATCAGTTGATTGATCGCCATAGTAGACGTGGAAACGGATTCGGCAGTCCTCCGTTTCAACGTAATGAGCCGGCTCAATTTATCCGACTTGGCGAGATTGGCGAAGAGCATAGCAATGTCATCGGCGGTTGGTTCCTTGACGTCCTTTCAGGTTGACCCAGTTGTCAGCATAGACCCCGATCTCCTAACCGTCGCAGAATAGAAGAGTTGGTATACTCACCGTTATCTTCACCATGAGAGTCTCTATAAACGCATCATCTTCCGCAAGATTTGCCAATACTTCCTTGTCAGAAGAGATATTGATGAGAATTGTAAGCGCATTTTTCGCGATTTGCTAGTTAGTTTCAGCAAGACCGTTCCCGAATTCGATATGTTAGAAGCTTATTACTAACAGTATAATCTCGAACCAGAAGCTTGAGATCGCGCACTGGAAGAAGCTGATGACGTTTGAAGAGGTCCGGCTGAGCGGTCGAGAAGCCAACGAGATTTTCGCATGCTAAATTGGACACAGGCGTTAGTCCATTCAACTGATGTTTGAGTGTTCAGGCTGCCTGATCGAGAGGGACTTTTCTACCAATTTGTCTTATCTGAGTATTTCCATGGTGAAGGAACTCAACAAGCTGTATGCATGGTGAGATAAAGATTGATTAGCTTCCCTGATCCTTCCATTAAAGGGGTCCCCAATTTCTCTTGCTTTCCTTGCTACAGAGTTTCTCCTCCTTCTCCTCCATCTCAGATTTCTTTGTTCCCATATCTCCAGCTAACAGTTAGGGACCTCGCAGACTCACCTCTTCTAAGACTGTTGGCATATTGAGGGGGAATTTCAGGGACCGGGAAAAGGAATAACAGACAAATAGAGTCTATAAATTGAAGATAAGACTTTATGTTTCCCCCTTTCCTCTCTTTTTCCTCTTTCGTTGGCTGTTATTACAGGTAAGTGAAGTGATTAGATCCATCTACGGGAAAATTTTTGGTGCGGGGACTTTTCTCCAACGTAGTGCACTGGTGTGGGGTTATCAACTTATAACTTACCCCTCCTCTGGTTATCAGGTACGTAGCCAGTATACAGATTGCCTCACTCTGTTTCCCTTAAATATAGTTTAAATTTTCAAAATCTACCATAAATGCTCGACAGCTTTGCAATCACCCTTAATTCTTCCGGAATTCAAGACTTACATGAATCCTACATCCAACGAATCTTATCCCCTTTCCTCATAAAAGCAAGTACAAGAAAACAACTCTGGGTAGCGTAGTGAATGTATGCCAGTAACTTCCAGGATCATCAAACTGATGAAACAGTATGGAGTACTTCATGTTCCCTTAGCAAATAGAAGCGCTTGGGGGCTAGTCACTCGGTAGTCTAGGTAAGTAGGTAGAAGTGGGCCGGAATAGTACTGTCAATAACTCCGCTATGTATGGATGGCTCATCGCGCTAAAGTCGACCATTCTGGCAGACCAACTTTAATGGCGGGGCTCGAAATCATCAAAGAACACTCAGTTATATTCCTTCCGAGGGGGCAGAGCCAAACAAGTCATCTCTTCGAAGATTACAAAGGAGGAACGAATAGAAACATGGGCGCAGAAACAATTGACCTCAAGGATATTCATGATTTTCTGGTAGAACTAGCTTCCAAGGCTGGAGAAATCATTACCAATGCCTTGCCAAACACGGGAAGTACAGGGTCAAAGAAGAACAGTGAGTGTGCAGTCTGTGCCCAGCTGGGCTTAAGGTATTGACCTCTTCCATAGCCGCAGATCTCGTCACTGAATATGATCGTGCGGTTGAGAAAATGATATCTACAGCGTTAGCAGGGAGATATCCGCAGTATCAGTTAAGTCATATACGACCCCTTCTATCAGATAATGTTCGCCAACAGGCCAAACCGATGATTACGGATCTGGATATTTATTTCAGCCCACTCTCTTACTCAATTAGCGATGAGAAGAGCTAACAGTCCACCACTATAGATTTCATGGCGAGGAGACATATGACCCTGCAAATCCATTAACTGCTGCCCCCACCTTCGTCGTCGATCCCATCGACGGTACAGTCAATTTTGTGCACGGATTTCCATATGCATGCATCTCTCTCGGCTTTACGATCGACATGAAACCAGTCGTTGGTGTTGTTTACAATCCGTTCAACAATACCCTCTACTCTGCCATTCGTGGAGAAGGGGCGTATTTAAATCGCAACACTAAACTTCCGCTCGACGCTAGGAGTCTTGAGCCATTGAATGGCTTAGAGAATGCTCTCATCGGCGTTGAGTGGGGTTCGGAGAGAGCAGGCAAGAATTGGGCGACGAAGGTACGGACATTTGAAAAGCTCGGTAAAACCAAGGACGATGGTGGTGCAATGGTACGCTCAATGCGTAGCATGGGCTCAGCTGCATTAAATCTTTGCGCCGTCGCATGTGGGAATCTCGATTTGTATTGGGAAGGCGGTTGCTGGGCCTGGGATGTTTGCGCTGGCTGGGTCATTCTGACAGAAGCTGGCGGTATAATTGTGGACGGGAACCCTGGCAACTGGGAAGCCAGCGTTGATGGGCGAAAGTATCTCGCAGTCCGAGGATCGCCAAATCAAGCAGGACAGAAGGAGCTCATTGAGGAGTTTTGGGGACATATACAAGGCCATCTCGAGTATTGAATTGAATCGTGAGTCGAGCGCATTCAATCAAGCACGCCCGCGAAACTGCCAGCTTCCAGCTGCCGCAAGCCTTTCTCAACACCAAACGAGGAAATGGGTTGACAATACTGAGTAGTCTGGTGAGGGAGAAAGAGTCCCATCATCATGTTACAATGTACATCACAGACGCGATGACACATCGGCTTGGCAATATATAAAAACTCAGCATACCTAAGGTACTCTCCGGCATGTATGTGCCTTGTAGTCCAGATGACTACATCCGACTCGTTATTACCGGCATTTTGGTCTACGTGATCAAAGGATAGTCTGACTCACGCACCCTGGCTATTGACGGCTTGGGTGCCCACCAACGGTGTTATTCACCCCTTCATGAGTTCTGGCCTTGGTCGAAGGGCTCACCGCGTACTGGTGATGCTCTCAGTTAAGTAGCTTGGTTATGCATCGCTGAGAAATTGACCGGCGACGTATGACCTGCCGGTTAAAGTCGTTTCTTCATCCAACAAACCAGCCTGGGCCTGAGTCCCACCATCCGTATCGCAAGTTGTCCCTACAGGTATATGTGCTTCCTGGACGTTTTCTCCCGGGCTTTTTTGACTCTCGTTCAGGGAAACCTGTCGAAAGTGACCATCGACGAGATGCTTAACTACGGGCCAGCCGTACGCATTTGTGAACATTCGCCTCACGATGATGTTATTGTGAGCATCTGGTTCAAGGCGAACAAGGACTTTGCGCCACGACATTCCACGGTGATAAGCCCTGGCGATTTTCTCCTCAACTTTCAGACCACCGGGCATCGCATTTCCGTCATCGGTAGAGCGACTTTCAGCGCAGCCTGCTGAATCCCGCGGACCATCAGAAGCCTTACTCTCAAAAGAGCTCAATGGCGAGGTCTTGCGCTTGGCAGACAAAGGAGGAGGTATGTCCTCGGGGTAATATATACGGTCGTGAAATATTGTCTTTGGCCTGGAAGCAGGATCAACAATAAACTGAATCGGTGGTAGAGGTGGCATGAGAAGATCTCCGGCTGATTCGAAAAAGGTGGTTCTCGGGGGAGCGTTAAGCCCAGATTCCTCGTAAGAAGAGTGTCGCGAAAGAGATTCTTCAAGGGGAAACGGTGTAGAGGTCGACGCATGAGCGAAGTCAGACGTGGTACTCAGAGTCTGACTACGCTTGTAGACTTTTGTATGCTTATGCCTAGGTGATACAGTTGTTGCTCTTTTTGGCCGAAAAATCGAGAAAAACGCGCTCAGCGGGTTGAGCGAGGGCTGAATCGAAGATATCTTCGGTCCCTGATTCTCTCTTGAGCCGCCTAGCTCTACTTGCGGCGGATGGCTTGCGCTTTCTCCAGTAGATAAGACCGGAGAATCAACAATGGAAGCATTCTGGACTGTTTCAGCTTGTCTTTGTCGTTTGATCTCCTCTGACAGAGAAATGATCCTGCCGCTATCGCGTTGGTCAATCCTGGCGGGCGACGCATTGCTATCGATAGGAGAATGAGGTGACCGAAGTGAGACCGAATTAGCACCAGTCAACTCTGCCCATCCCCATTCCGCCATTGTGCTAACAAGGCCGTTCTGCCTTCTTGCCTTCTCAACGCGCTCCAATCCTTTCCAATCAAGAAATAATAGGCACGAAGTTCGCAAGGGCACGATTCCATCATTAACCACGTTTGAATAGATAGTGCGACGGTCAAACTTACAGAGCGCCTCATGAGCTGGACCACAGGGAAGTACTCTTAGCAAAGGCTTAGGTCCATGATCGACATGTTCCCGTGGCTTTGTAGAAGTACCCCTGCCGCCGATTACCGCCTCCCACCCGCTTCGCACTTTGGGAGCAGTCCAGCTTAACCCTAGATCCTGGCCTGTCCGGCCGACAAGGCCGAGATCGAGAGCAAAGCGGACATACATAGGGTTCTCATTGCTGAGCCCAAGGAAAGGTGTCGCCAGAGTGATGAAGTTGACAGGGCGAATCAGATTAAAGAATTCAGGCGAGTGTTTCTGAATATATGCAATGGCATACGTCTGAACCAAACCTCCAAGAGAATGCCCGATAAAGCTAATACTCGTAATCTGGTAGGAACGATGCTCGTCTTCTTCCTCATCTGCACGAGTTCGAGGCTCAGAAGGGTCGTTAAAAACATTTTCCTTCGCACTCTTCCATGCACCGAGTGATTCAGTGAACGTTTTCGTTCTAGATTGTTTGAGTGGTCTGTAGGGTTGATCTGGGTGTGTCATGAACAAGACGTATTTCGCAAGTCGCTTGCCGAGATACTGTATTCCGCGTTCAGTACGCACTGCATTACCGGCAAAACCCCTAACTATGACTTGTTCGTCATCGATATCGTCTTGATCAACCGAATCATCATCGCGAATGGAACTTCAGCAAACATTGAGTCAGAAGGGTCAAACGGATAGCGGATAACAAATAGTTGTCTCAATGCAAGCAATTTCAAAGCTTACCGATCTAGAGAAGAGACGCCATGCGGTGCCTGTGGATCCACATGTTGTCTCAACTTGCAAGATGCCCCTTTCTGTGTCTTCTTAGTTGCAGCGTCAATGCTTTCTTTCAAGTAAAGCATGTCTGCTCCAAGGTTGCTGTGTAGACCATGTGTAAGTACGACAAGGTGAACTTTTTTTCGACGCGCACAGTTTTGCCGAGTGGTGTCGAGTCTGTTGGCTCTTTCCACTGATTCCCCGTTCGTTGGTGGTTCATTCGACAGTGATCCAGTGCCGTCAACGGCATCGTGTTCAGATGGAAAAGGAGGCTTATTCCAGAGACTGGCGGTGTCATCTATACGCAGACAAACCGATTTCGAAAAAACACCCTTAGTAGCAACCACTTGCCTGCCTTTCGTTGTGGGCGTTATATGATCCTGCAGGTGAGCTGCACGGTGAAGCCTGCTGACCGATAACCCACCACTGTAGGGGAGATCAACTGACTCCTCATCACGGCCGATGAGTAGCTCATAATTGACAATAGCTGTGGTGGAGAAAATGACCTGCGATATTATCTCGATAATCCATGTCACTTTTCGAGTGCTGTCGGGTGATGCGGGAGTCTCTGGAATTCGATGCAGGCGTTTCGGTATAGGGATCATTGCTTTCCAGCTCCCTCCTGCCTTAAGGTAGGGTTCGAACTGAGGGTTCCCCTCGTTTTCCTCATCCTGGGAATGGGCATGAGGGTCGAATGTGGAAGGATAACAGGAGGCATAAAGAGTATATGGCCCATGCAGGTACGCAGCCCGCAGTGCGATGGCAGATGTGTTTCTGACCTTGACATGTAGCGCATCTGGTAGAGGATGGACATTGTCAGCTACTGGTGTGTAAGTCACTGTGTATCTGTTTGAGAACAACAGATTAGTATCATGAGTAGAGTATATAGGAACTACCCCTGGTGGGACCGAGGAGACGTATAAAGTGATACAAGAAGACGAACCTGATTGCTTCTCCTACACGGACACTGCCAGCTTGATGCACCAACAACATATCAGTAGCTCTTTTGGTCTGTACTGTGTCTGCTTGCCACCCAGTAATTGAATGAAATCTCAGGGACTTGAATTGTAAGGAAGAAGCTATTTCCTGATCTGGGCTTTGGGAGGTAAGATACAATCGAGGCGTGATGAACATCTGGATTTAGACGGAATCATCTCTGTTATAGTGTTGACCACAGTTCTTAATCTTCAAGGATATTGTAAAAGCAATGGTTTGAGATTGATAGATTATGGCATTATTCAAATATGTAAGAAGTAGAGAGGTACCCTGAGAAACTAGGGGCAGACCAGAGTGATTTAGCCTCTTCGCCACGGAGCTGATCTACATAAAGATCATTACAAGTTTACAACAGTACGAACAGGGTAAATAGGTAGGTTCTGTTTCTAATTTAGTTATTATGAGTTATAGTACTTTATATGCACCAATGAACCACTGTCTATTCTGTAATGATTAGGTCCATGTATTATTCTGTACGGAGTACTCCCAATTTACAGGCCACAAAGTCTGCATATCATGGAGTTCTCTTATGGTTGCCGACTTTCGAGGAGATACCGATAGGTACCTGGTGTGAGCTATACCAGGTCTTACAACCATAAGTATGGAGTATTTTCTCCCTTTAGTCATGTAATTTCTGGATATGTACAAATCTATTTAGTACTCCCTGCTAAGGTAGTCAGCCCTGGTCTTCTTTAGTCCTTCCCTATCTACAGAGCCGGTCATGTGAATGGTAACCCGATAAGATATGATTATGTAATCATAATGACCATACATCACATCGCCTCCTGTTGCCTCTGGTGAAAGGTAGCTTATTAGCCTCACACTTATTACCTACGTACAAACAGAATCCCAGTTGTTCCTGCTTATTCATTAATAGCACTACTGACCTCTCTCATAACCTAAATATCATCTCAGCAGGCTGCAGTGGAATTATAGATCACTATGCCTTTACCTTCCAGTGATGCAAACTCACAAACTCACACAAGCGCTCACAAAGCTCCACCAATGCGATTTCGTCGTCCTAAAGTTGCAGACCCTTTAGTCAGGCCAAAAAAGAGGGTTACAGCAAGACCGGCAGCCACTTCTGTTCCCTCTGTTGGTATACCTACAAAACCAACGACAGCTCGTCCAGTAATTTCCAATATCACGCCCGCGACCCAAGTCGAGAAAGCTGTCCCCGGCCCCTCCCAAAATGATTTCTCAGTGAATGGTTTCAGCGGTCCTTTATTGTCCGAGACTTATGTGGATTATCCCATAGTAATCACAAAGCGATCGTTGCGAGAAGGCTTGAAACATCACATCGCTCGCTTCGCATCCAAGAAGACTATCGATCCTCGTGATGAGTCTCAATTTACTCGACCTGTCAGACTTCAACGTCGAGACCCTAGAGCAAAGACGCAAGAGATGAATCAGGACAAAGACCAAACCCAGAAGTTGACGCCTCAATCTAATCACCAGTTAGGCGATGCCGAGAGGGAGGAGCTTGAAGCTAGAAAGGCCGCGAGAGAAAAA